AATGGAAATGGAGATTATAATAAGGATCTATCTCATGAGATGCTCTGAGGATTAAATGCTCTTAGAACCATGTCTAGCACATAATAAGTGCTCAGTAAGTATTTATTATTATTGTTCTTGGAAATTTGTGCAGCAGTTAGGATTTTGCTGGGCTGCAAGTAACAGAATACTGGATTGTGTTCATTTCCTGTTGCTGCTATAACAAATTATCACAAATTTAGTGAGTAACAATAACACAAATTTATTATTTTATAGTTCTGAAGGTCACAAATCCAAAATAGGTCTCACTGGGATAAAATCAATCTTGATCTGGGACTTCCCAGCCTCAAGATTGTGAGAAAAGAAATTCTGTTGTTTAAGCCACACAGTCTATGGTTTGTTATGGCATCCTCAACTGACTAATCCAGATTTGTTCCTTCTAGAGGTTCTAGGGGAGAATTTGTTTCCTTGCCTTGTTCAATTTTTTTTGTTTGTTTTGGCCATGCTCCATGGCATGGGGTCGAGGAACTTCCCTGACCAGGGATCAAACCCATGCCCTCTACATTGGGAGCACGGATTCTTAACCACTGGACCACCAGGGAAGTCCCACCTTATTCAATTTCTAGAGGCTATCTATATTTCTTGGCTTGTGTCTCCTTCCTCTGTCTTTAACCCAGCAGCACAGCATGTTCAAATCACTGCCTTGAACTTTTCTGCCTCCCTCTTCCACTTTTAATGACCCCTGTGACATTTAGTCCACTGGGATAATCCAAAATAATCTTATTTTAAGGTCAGTTGGAACTTCCCTGGTGGTGCAGTGGTTAAGAATCCACCTGCCAATACAGGGGACACGGGTTTGATCCCTGGTCTGGGAAGATCCCACATGCTGCGGGGCAACTAAGCCCATGTGCCACAACTACTGAGCCTGTGCTCTAGATCCCACAAGCCACAACTACTGAGGCTGGGTGCCACAACTACCGAACCCGCTTGCTGCAACCACTGAAGCCTGTGCACCTAGAGCCCATGCTCTGCAACAAGAGAAGCCACCACAATGAGAAGCCCGCGCACCGCAACGAAGAGTAGCCCCCACTCACCACAACTAGAGAAAACCCACGCGTAACAAGGAAGACCCAATGCAGCCAAAGATAAAAATAAAATTTTTTTTAAAAGTCCTGCCTTCAAATGTTGAAAAAAAAAAATCAGTTGATTAGCAACCTTAATCCCATATGCAACCTTAATTCCCTGCTGCCATGCAACATAGCACATTAACAAGTTCTTGGAATTAGAATGTGGACACCTTTGGCTACTTCGGCCATTATTTTGGCTACTCCATGGATTGACAATAGTTTGAACCTTAAGGATATTTGCTGTTTACTTAAGAAGTCTGGAAGTAGGAGGATCTAACATTGATTTAGCAGGTTAACTACATTGTAAAGAACCTATACTATTTCTTCCTTACCTAGTTTGTTAGCTTTTTCTCTTCATATTTGTCACCTCATGGTCAAAAGATGATCGTTGCATTTCCAGGCATCAGCAAGACAGGAAAAAGAGGAGGGGGAAAAAGAGGCTGTCCATTTTCCTTTCCCATCTGCCCCTTTTATCAGAAAGCCAAAGATTGTCCCTAGAATCTCTCCAGCAATCTTGCTCTAAATGGGTCCTATGGCCATCTCTAGCTGCAAGAGGATCTGGAAGAGGGAGCATCTGGCACAGGAGAATGAAATCATACAGATTGGCTTAGACCATTTATGATACATTGATGGGGCCGGGCGCATTGCCTCCCCAAACAAAATCAGAGTTCTTTTAGAAAAAGAGAAGTGCAAGTGTGTGTGTGGGAGGGGTGGGGTGGAGAGGAGTTGTTGTCAAACAGGCAAATGACATTGGATATTAGAGTCTTGGAGGATTTTTCCCTTTAAAGAAATGTTCTCACTTGAGAAGCAATGCAGTATTTCTAGAAGCCTGATAAAGTACTTAGTTGTAGAATTTTATTTTTCTGTACCAAATTAGAGCAAGAAAACAAGACTATCTAAAGAAACATTTTAAAAACATAAACATGTAATTTATGATCTCTGTAGAAAAGTTATACAGTCTTTTCAATATAGATTTTCTCATCCAATTGAACACATAGCTGATGGCTGAGACCAACGGGGCTGTAGTTCAATGAGGCTAAAAACTTGCTCCTTTTGGCATACCTATGATTTCTGTAACAGTGTCAATTCTATTTATGAAAACTATGCTTCATTGTCAGAACTTTAATTTGTTTCTGGTCTCTATTCAATTTTTCTAAAATAATAAAGGCAATCTGTAATAAAATTTCCAAATAATTACATCAACAAACTGCAGTGTACTGTCAGTAATGGTGATGCTACTGAAACTGAAATGTTGGCTGGCAGATGATACCATGTTGAGAAGCCCTAAGTATTTGCCAGTCAATGTATGAAAGTTCAGTTGTGATGCATGCTCAGTATATTATTTACTTAATTCAATAAACATTTATTGTGTCAGGCACTGTTCTAGAAACTGAGATTTTAGTAGCAAAGAAAAACAAGAAGAGGTTCTGACTTTATGCTCTTTGCAGTCTGGTTAGAATAATCCAAGAAACACAAATGAAAGTTCAAGGTATTTTAAAATCTATCAGATCACCAATGGTGGGGCATTCTCATATGCTAAGTTGATACACTCTCTGAAGATAAATTTTAAACAATTATTCGTTTATTTATTTTTGGCTGCGTTGGGTCTTCATTGCTGTGCGCAGGCTTTCTCTGGTTGCTGCGAGCGGGGGCTACTCTTCGTTGCGGTGTGTGGGCTTCTCATTGCGGTGGCTTTTCTTGTTGCAGAGCACGGGCTTTAGGCACGTGGGCTTCAGTAGTTGTGGCACATGGGCTCAGTAGTTGTGGCTCGCGGGCTCTAGAGCGCAGGCTCAATAGTTGTGGCGCACAGGCTAAGTTGCTCCGTGGCATGTGGGATCTTCCCGGACCAGGGCTTGAACCCGTGTCCCCTGCATTGGTAGGCGGATTCTTAACCACTGCACCACGAGGGAAGCCCTGAAGATAAATTTAACTGTATGTGTAAGTTAAGATGTCTGTACACTTTGACCCAGGGATTTGGTTTTTGGGAATCTATTATAATTAAAGAATCAGAAATGCAGACCAAGATTTACAGTCAAAAAATTTGATCACTACATTATCTTTACAAGTGAAAAATTAGAAATAAATACTCACCAAAGGGGAAATAGTTAAATAATTTATAGCATATGCATGAACCTATTGTAAATCTATTAAAATGATGTTTTTGAAGCATTTATACTCATGCTATACTGTTAAAAGGGTAAAAATTATGATTAAAAACTGTATATCTAAAATATTAATAATGTTATTGCTTGGAGGTCAGAAGGTGCAACCTTACTGAAGTTATTGAAGGGGGTCAAAAGGTACAAACTTACAGTTGTAAAATAAATAAGTCCCGGGAATGTCATGTACAGCATGGTGACTATAGTTAGCAATAATGTATTGCATATTTGAAAGCTGCTAAGAGAGTAGATCTTCAAAATTTCATCACACACAAAAAAAACCCTTTTTTTGTAACTTTGTATGGTGATGGATTAACTAGGTAGTTAATGATTGTGGTAGATCATTTCCCAATATATAAAAATATCGGATCAGTATGTTGTACACCTGAAAGTAATACATCAGTTATACCTAAAAAAAAAAAGGCAGAAAAACGTAGGCATTTGGCAAGAAAGTTAAGCAAAACACTTGTATAATAAATTACACACAAAGAAAAGAAAAAGAAACCTGTAGGCCTGGGAGCTGCCAGTGGGCTGGTGCCAGGTGTGGCCGCCAGCAAGGCGTCCCACTGTTATTTATCTTAATGTTGAGAACAAGAAATACATGTTAGGATAGGTTAATTTCTTTTAGATTTAAACAAAGCACCTTCTAATTTGCTGAATATTTTAAAAGTTCTATAACTTTGGGAGGGAAGAATCCCTCCATGCCTATGACAAAACCCATGCTTTCTAGTAAAGCAAAAGAAACACTGAGAATGTTTAACAGAATTTCTCTCTGTAGGGCATGAGAATACAGGAGATCCCCTCCCCACCCTGCTTTTCTATATTTTACAGGTTTTCAGTAAAGAGAAAGTGTTATTCTTATAATGAAAAGCTTTATTTTAACAAATCTATATCATGAGTTAAAAAGTCTCCATCTGCAGATTTATAAAATAACACAAAATTAAAGCATGAGGCTCCTTTGATTATGTTAAGTCCAAAAAAAAAAGTTATTGCTGATTTACATGGTTATGAGTCACTTTTTGATTTTCCAAGTTTTTTTTATAATGGGCATTGTAAAAAAATATAAATTTATTTATTTTTGGCTGCGTTGGGTCTTTGTTGCTGCGCGTGGGCTTTCTCCAGCTGCGGCGAGCGGGGGCTACTCTTCTTTGCAGTGCGTGGGTTTCTCTTCATGCAGAGCACAGGCTCCAGGTGCACGGGCTTCAGTAGTTGTGGCTCATGGGCTCCAGAGTGCAGGCTCAGTAGTTGTAGCACACGGGCTTAGTTGCTCCGCGGCATGTGGGATCTTCCTGGACCACGGCTTGAACCTGTGTCCCCTGCATTGGCAGGAGGATTCTCAACCACAGCGCCACTAAGGAAGCGATAATGGGCATACTTTTATAATTAGAAAAAATGCATTATTTTAAAAGGGCAGTAATATTCATTGGGAAACTATAAGCAACATATATGCCCCTTGAAAATTTCATGCACTTCATTAAAAGCATAGCCTAATGTAGTTTTGGCTACTCTAGGAATATGATTATGTTGTTAAGTATGTGTACACTATGAAAAAATATTAATCCAGTAATTTAAAACAAATTCAATTTAGAGGCTTAAAATCAGAGGATCACTTTAAATGTGTGTTAGGTGTGTTAGAATAATTGCTTGACTTTGTACCTGGAAAATGCTAGTAAATCATTAACTTTTTGATTTTTTGCAGCAACAAGCATGAAAGCAGGCTACTAGCAATTTTGAGAGCTTGCAGAAACATTGCAAGGAAAATGAAGTTCCCTATTTTCATAGCAGATGCATTCACAGCAAAAGCATTTCGTGGGAATCCTGCTGCTGTTTGCCTCCTAGAAAATGTAAGTAGTATTTTGTTTTGAAGTGCAGTGCCTCAAATCCTAGATTCCTGTAGAACCAAGTATTTCCTAAAAAAAAAAAAAAAAAAAAAATCAGACCCACCTATTTGTGTACCTCTCTGGTTTGTTTTCTTTGTCAAATGATATCAGCAATGTTCATGTCTGCAAGTTGATATTGACCAAATCTTATGATGAGACTGCTTACACCTAGATGCAGGTGTAAGAGAAATGAAGATTCATGTAAAGAAGAACTAGAGCCAATTAAAAAAAAAAGTGTGTGGGGGATTTCCCTGGTGGTTTGGTAGTTGAGACCCCCGCCCCCGCCCCCCCAAAAAAGAGCTCGAGCTCCTTGTAGCCTCTGTGTTTTCATTTAGTTAGCACCAAATGGGGAGGAGAATGAAATTAGATGAGTTTTATGTGACTGGACATGGCTGATACTACATTTAGCTTAAAAGATTCTAGCTGGATATTTTTAACCTTACCTATAGTTCAGACAATTAGAAATTCTTTTCAGGACCAAAGATGAGACGTACTTAAGTTTTGCAAGGACTTAAGTAATGTAGTAGATAGAAGGAATTAAGCTCTAACATAGAGAGAACTCAGCTTACTGAAAGTCTCATTTTAAAAATGGCTCTTTGATTGGATAAGTTTTAACAGAATAGTCAAAGTTTCTTTGACCTTAGATGCTTTGTGTTGTTACCTGGGTGTTAGGAAACAAGCCAAGGTACGCTTCTACTCAGAGCAGTTAGTACAAGAGTAGATTTTCTGAAAATTACTTCAGGAACACAGTAAGCAGCTGATGATCTTAAAGGGCAGAAATAGAAAGGCAGAGGTAGAGAACACGGTGGGGAGTGGGGGGAAGGGGAGGGTGGGATGAATTGGGAGATTAAGTGTGACATAAATACACTACCATGAGTAAAATAGATAGCTAGTGGGAACCTGCTGTATAGCACAAGGAGCTCAGCTCTGTGCTCTGTGATGACCTAGATGGGTGGGATGTGGGGTGGGGGAGGGCATATATGTATACCTATACCTGGCTCACTTCACTGTACAGCAGAAACTAACACAACATTGTAAAGCAGTTATACTCCAATAAAAAAATAACACATTAAAAAAAGTCTTATTAAGTTGGGGCCTTTGAGTGCAAACATCAAGCTGACTGCAGATTAAAATCACCTGAGGTGCTTTAAAAATTCCTATGCTCAGCCAATCACAATAGAATCTCTGGGGGTGGGACCCAAGCAGCACTGTTTTTTAAAGCTCCCCGGGTGATTCTAGTGTAAATCAAGATGGAGAATGGCTGAGGTTTTACTGAGACAGGTGAATATTGTTAATTGAGTCTTTGGTATACTTATTTTCTCCGTCAAATGGAGCAGCAAAATGGTGATCAAGAGTCCTCATCTTACCTTGGGCTTCCCTGGTAGCGCAGTGGTTAAGAATCTGCCTGCCAATGCGGGGACACCGGTTTGAGCCCTGCTCCGGGAAGATCCCACGTGCCATGGAGCAACTAAGCTCCTGCGCCACAGCTACTGAGCCTGCGCTCTGGAGCCCACCTACCACAACTACTGAGCTCACACGCCACAACTACTGAAGCCCCCGCGCCTAGAACCCATGCTCCGCAACGAGAAGACCCCACAAGAAGCCCACACACCGCAAAGAAGAGTAGCCCCCACTCACTGCAACTAGAGAAAGCCCGCCCGTAGCAACGAAGACCCAACGCAGCCAAAAATAAGTAAATAAATAAAACAAAACAAAACAAAGAGTCCTCATCTTACTTTGATGATGCATTCATCATGCAACCTTGCAGTTGGCATTTTCCAACCACAAAGTGCAGAGAGTAATAAAGTTAATAGGCTTTGTCAAGTAACACAAGAGCTTAGGAGTATTAGTGAGAGAATAACAGCCGGATTCTAAAATGTGAACTTTGTTTAGAAACAATATGGCAAACATAGCTTCACGTCAAGGACTTGTGAAATTGACTAAATCTGCTTGTCAAGAGTTTTAATGTAGGTGCTTCCCTGGTGGCTCAGTGGTTAAGAATCCGCCTGCCAATGCAGGGGACACAGGTTCGAGCCCTGGTCTGGGAAGATCCCACATGCCGTGGAGCAACTAAGCCCGTGTGCCACAACTACTGAGCCTGCACTCTGGAGCCCATGAGCCACAACTACTGAAGCCCGTGCACCTGGAGCCTGTGCTCTGCAACAAGAGAAGCCACGGCAATGAGAAGCCCGAGCACCGCAACGAAGAACAGCCCCCGCTTGCCGCAACTAGAGAAAGCCCCCAGTTGAAAACCATTGTTTCAGAAGATACCTTCTCTAAAGAGAGGCTTATTCTGGAGTTTTCCTGTTTAAATTATCCATAAAAACAACTTTGTTGTGTGCCCAGTATATTTATTTATCCCGATTCAGCTGGCCTTTACTGGCTGTCTACCATAAGCTGGACACTGTGCTAGGATCAAATGTAATATTCATATATGTGTGTTTCTATTCTTTTAAACACTACTAATCATTTCCAGTGACAGCAAGGAGGATCAGCTTCACACTTTTTTTTTTTAAGTTTTTATTGAGTCTGTTACAATATTGCTTCTGTTTTGTTTTGGTTTTTCGGGCCCTGAGGCATGTGGGAATCTTAGCTCCCCAACCAGGGATCGAACCTGCACCCCCTGCTTTGGAAAGTGACCTCTTAACCACTGGACCGCCAGGGAAGTCCCTGGCTTCACACTTTTAAAGACGAATGCTTAGTTTTAGTTCCTAAAGTACTTGCTGTTCTGGTTTTTCTGGTTAAATTTAGGGACAACCAAAAGCCCGTTTTACAGGTTGGTGGGTTATATATTTAAAGAAAAACAGGTGTATAGCAATGCTGTGTTCAATCCATGCTTTAACTCATGTGCAGTGGCCATTTCCAAACTTGCTGCCCTTCCTTAGAGAGAGGATCACTGGCTCAGTGTGACCACACTGGGTCAGAGGCTCCTGGGGTTTCTAGAGGGTTACAACCTCATATCTCATTTTTATGCCCAGAAAAATGATGCAAAGTGCAGAGAAGATTCTTCTAGGACATTGAAGTGTTTTCCTTTGCCAAGTATTTGAGGGAAGAGAGCAACGCAAAGGAAGAGGAAATGTTAATGTGGGAATTGCTGCTTCCCAAGTATCCTCACTGGCTTCTAGAACATAACTCTCAGCTTTGAGGGCAGTGACTTCAGGCAAGTTCAGCCAGATACATACTGTGCTAATTTCTTTTCATATATTATTTCATTTCACCCTCACAACCACTCTATGAGTAGGTCTTATTATTATTATCCCCATTTTACAGATGAGAAAATGGAGGCAGAAGAAGGTTAAATGGCTGACTTCAGAATCCCACCCCAGGTCTGCCTGACTGCAGGGCCCATGCTTTTAACCCACTGTACTCAATACTAGACTAAGATATCTTCCTCTTTTATGTGCTCCCACGGCACCCTTTCCCAGTTGATAACATGCATCACTCTTGTTGTAATTCATTCAATGCCTGTCTCTCTCACTACTGTACATTCCATGAGATCTTAATCTATTCTGACTTGTTCCAACACACAAGGCCTAGCACATGGGAGGCACTAAATAGATATCTGTTGAGTGAAAGTGAAAATATTATAATCAGTGATACTATGGCAAAATCTCCTTCTAAGAGTTCTAGTTAGCCAACAGTTATTCATCTTTTGTTCTCATTGGTAGGGAGGGGTGGGCAGGGTATGCAAAGTGAGTATGTTCTTTGGGTTCTGTGATGGAGCTGGAGACACTAAGCATCTATAAGATCCATTAGAAGCAACTGAAGATGGCCTGAAGTTTGAGTGCTGCATTGTATGGGCATAACTTTACAATCGGAAATCCAAGTGCCTCGAAAGGAATCTCCCATTCCTAGATGATTTAGAACTTTCTACATCCAAGTGCTTTAACGTCGCTGGAAGGAAAGCAGAGGGACAAAGGAACAGAGCAGGACTGTCCTGTTTAGGCTGTCATATTTCTAAACTGCCACAAGGTGGGAGTATTTTAAAACTTTACTCTGATTTTCTGATCATTAATCTTTTGTGGGCCATATAGTGATGGAACCTCAGTGTCCCAAGGCAGTACATTGGAAGGCAGAAAAACAAACATGGCTCTAATTTTGCTGCTGGAAGCTTGACTCATGTGAAATTGGCAAAAGGAAATGGATATTAAAGCAAGAGAACTAACAGTTATCGGTTTGGTTTGAAACTATTATGTTACGTTTAAAAATAAGCTTGTAGTGTAAAATGGAAACATTATTGGAACCAAAATTCAGTATTTTGAATGAATGTAGTCTCATTCTTTTTTTCCTAAAGCTCTCCAAGTTGAAGCAATATTAATCTTCTCATGATTCACCATTATTTTGATCTTTGGTTCCAGTGTAGAAATTCAGCCACATGTGGTGCACATTGAGGGCTGCTACTATCATACTTTCTACATTGTCTCTGGCCCCTCAGGCAAATAGCAGGTGCATTTTCAGTGTTCTGGGGCAGAAATTGCACTTATAGAAATTCAAATTGTAATTGGTGAAATATACCAAAGCAGAGAAGATTAAAGAGTTGATGGTCTGTGAAGTGTGTGTTTTAGCTGATGTGCAAAAAAGCCCATTTGCAAAGGAATCTATTACCAATAGATGGTGAGCTTGGCTACAATGCGAAATGCTTTAATACTTTTAGAGGCTCTGGTCCTAAAGATCACGGGAAGCAATAGGCAAAGAAAGGAAGGACAAGGATAGGGAGTTTGGCCAGATCAGATACAGGAGGGACTGGCAGGCACAGCAGGTTCCTTTAGTCAAGGAGGCAAATCCAGGCTTTTCTTCATTAACCCTTCAATCACCTTTGAGACCTGTGACTGCAGACTCAGCACTGGGGAATTAAATGGCTCTGAGTTTCTCTCAGGTGTTACATGCACGGGCAGGTGGGCCAGTTTCCATGGAGAACATTCAACAGGCCACTGCAAAGCGCTTGAGTTCACTTCTGAACATTGTTGCCTTGTTGGCCTCAGCAGCACCCAACCCCCTCCTCTACTCAGGTGGGACTTCTCACTCCCCAGGCCCACAGGTGCCCAGAGGTGTGACATGTGCTCATTCCACTTCATTCCTACCATCCTAATTCTCCTTACCTTAGCTTACAGAATCCTAGAGTGTCAAAGATTTAACAGAAGGAGAAAGAAGTGAGGTCAAGTGATTTGCCCAAGAAGCGTCCCCAATACAAAGCTTTTTGCCCACATTTTCCTGTTGAACTCAACAAAATCTTCCCTTTTTCCAGGTCCACATCAAGTCCTCACCTTTAAAGTCCTAGAGTACTTAATGTCAAAATCCATTGCTGATTTCTGTATCTATCTTGACTTCTCAACTGAGAGGCTCAGGCCCTTGACCAGAGGACCATACCTTACACACTAGGGCTCCCCAGACTTTAATGTGCTCACAGATCACCTGGTTTCTGGTTAAGATGGAGATTCTGATCCAGAAGGTCTGGGGCAGGGCCTGAGACTCTCCATTTCTAACACATTCCCTTGGGAATGGTGCTGATGCTGGTGGCCTAGCGTGGCACTCAGTGATTGATTCTGCTTGCAGGAGTCCATTTTATCTGATAGACATTGGTTTTCTTGCCTGCAGCCTGTTAAAGGGATAATAATAATTTCCTTGTTATGGGGAGGCAGTGCGGCGTGGCAGGTTAAAGCACTGGCTTTGAACCACTTAAAAAGGTAACGTTTATCAAGTACTTACTATGCATCAGGCACTGTGATGAGCACTTTATATGCATTATTGGATTAAATCTTTTGAAAGAAAAACATTAAGTAAAAAACAAACAGAAAAACCCGTTGTGTTATTTTTTTCAGAAAATAAGTATCTATTTCTTAAGTGATTTCTCTTTCTGTAGGACTACAGAGCCTCTACAGATTTTTAATACAGAGCTCCTTTAAGAAAAGCTTAGTAAGTCCCCTGTTAGGATTTTTACATCAGCTGATATTTTAAAAATCATGACTGATTTTTCACAACTGCTGTTTTATGCCTTTTTTTTCAATACAGAAACTTTAATAGGTAAACATATCTGTAATGTTATATGAGTATACAGAAAGTGTTTCAAAAGAATTTGAATCAACTAAAAGACAAGGGTGTTTAACTTGCATAACTCAGATAAGTGAATTATGAATTTATTAGAATAAAGCATAATTCTTATTTCTGGGTTTCAGGAGCTCAAGAATAGTAAGTTTTGCCAAAGCAAAAATGCATTTGTCTTGAGATTTCTTTTTTTTAAAATAAATTTTTATTGGAGTATAGTTAATGTCTTGAGATTTCTTTAGAATTCAAAATCTAAGTAGTGATCATTTTGTTGATTAAAAAAATTGCTTTTCATTCTCAAAAAGAAAATTCATGCTTCAGCCCATTTTTTCCCTTGAGTTAAGAGGAATGTGTATATGTGTGTTTATGCATGTATATGTATGTAGGTGTCTTCACAATAACCCTTCGACCTAAGTACTATTATTCCCACTTTAAAGGCATAGAAGCTGAGGCTCCAGGAGGTGAAATGACTTGCCCACTCTTGCACTGTTTCTAGGAGCTGACCCAGGTTACAAATCCAATTATGTATGTTTCCAAAGCCTACTTTAAAAAAATTGTTTTATTTTGAAAAATTAAAAAACTTAAGAAAAATTTCAAGAATGAACATCTACATACTTTTCCTCTAGATTCACTGGTTCTTACCATTTGCAAAACCCACATTCTTAATCAGTCTACCATTTATTAGACGTATTGTGTTTTTAGGATATTACATAAACTTTCTGTGTTTAATTTGTTTATCTGTAAGTGGATAAAAATATCTATATTGAGGGTGTTTAAAATGAAGGTTAACTGGATAATTATTCTCTTAGCAAATATTTATTGACCTCCTTCCATCCCAGGATGAATAAAAGCATTGTTCTAAATCAGGACAAAGCAAAGTAGCACAGTTGGTGCTCTCATAGAGCCAGAGTCAGAGGTGGGGGGAACAGACATTAAAAGGACATAGCAACTAATTTCAGGTGGTCTCTGCACTGGGGAAGAGACAGAGCAGTCCGGAAGGCTTTCTGGAGGAGGTGACCTCTGGCCTGAGGCCTGACTCATGAAAGGGAGTGAACTGTGCATAAATGGGGGCAGAGTGGTCCAGCCTGCTCAGAGTGGGCACCTGACATCTCTTCATCCAACAGGAAAGAGAGATTGTGGAGTTTCCATTTGCAGAAATTATTTTTAGAAGAGAACACATGCTCTCAGATAGACTAGATAATAATCTGACAAAGGATAGCCCAGGCCGGTAGGTTTTCAGAATCTGTTCTAGCTTTTAACCTCCACAGCTCTTCACATGGTTGCATGCATGGATTTCTGAAAAACCATCTTTATAAAAGTGCCTTGAATTCCTTGGTGATTATTTCCTTTTAGGCATATAACTTTTAATATTAATAAACTGTTATTTACTAGTGGCAGTTGCTGTCCAAGGAAGTCAGATTTTTGTTTCTGGAGTCTCAATAACCTTTTGTTTCTAATTTAGAAATTGGATGAAGACATGCATCAAAAAATTGCAAAGGAAATGAATCTCTCTGAAACTGCTTTTATCCAAAAACTACACCCAACTGACAACTTTACACAAAGTAAATACGCTTTTTTTTTAACCATTCCTGAATGGCACAAGAAGCTGCTTTTCCAGTGGGGGAATGATAGTTAAGGGAAATGTCCATTTACTATTTGCATGCAGATAGGAGAGAGCGGGGGAGCTTCTAATCTGGTTTACATTTCATCTGGGGGAGCAGGTATTGGTGAATTTGAGTGTTTCAGCTCCAGATCTAGCACTGGGGGGCCCTAGGAGGCTTGCCTAGACTTTGCTCCTCCTTTCACAACACGTTTCAGTGATGAATCATGCTAATGAAATATTTAGAAAAGAATAAGAAAATGAAAAGTTTACGACCCCCTTGTATGGGAATGATCTCATCTCTCTGGTTTTTTCTCCTCTGAAGGTTCCTGCTTTGGATTAAGGTGGTTTACACCAGTGAGTGAGGTTCCTCTCTGTGGCCACGCTACCCTGGCTTCTGCAGCTGTGCTGTTTCACAAAATAAGTAACGTGATTTTCTTTTATGAACTTACCATTTAGCAAATAGCAAATATTTTAAAAAACTCTCACACATTCTTTCCTGTGAACCAAAGTGACTGGTATAAAGACACTGCAAAGTTTATTTCATGCGATTTATTATGCAGAAACAAAAACAGCAAGCTTCTATAACACTTTGATATTTCAGAGTATGTACCATGCATGTTGGAAAGCCATGGTCATTGTTTCCTGGAATGCCATTTTCTTCTAAATAGGAGCTCTCTGGTCTCTTCGACAAACACAGGAGCAGAGTTTGCAAGGCAGAATAGTTGTCTAACATGATATGATACTGGGGAACCAAAAGACATAACTTTGCCCCGAATATGTCCCCACCCACATTGAAATTCATTTCACAATAAGAGCTTTTTTACTCTGAATTTTAAATATTAATGAGCCCCCGCTGTATACATTTACCCTGTGAAGAGAGGATGCAGCACCTTAATCCTACCTGTGTTCATCTCAGCTACACTTAGTATAATAGATAAAGATCAGGGCTTTGTGGGAATGGGGCAGAGAGATGCCTGGAAATGTCCTAATAGTGGAGATGGAAGCAGCCATGAATAAGTGTAGACCACAAACAGAAAGTTAAACAAGGAAATAAACAGGTCAGGTTTGCCCAGAAAGCAGACTCTGAGACACACTGGCATGCCAGAAGAATTGGGGGCAGTGTTCTTGAGATCAGTATTGTTAAGGGAGTAAAAGAAAGCAGAACTGAACACAGGGAGAAGTTGAACTGCAAAGTGGTAGCACCAAAGAAAGACCTGATAGTCCTCCACAGGGTGGGCCTGAGGTTCCATGAGAAAATGCTTGGTAAATAATGATGTCTTACACCAATTATAATGAGAAGAATTAAACTTTGGGTTTCAGAATGTAAATTTTATTCTGTGAAAGTTAATCAGCGGTGCTGAATTTTCTCACCTTTGAGATATGGTTAAGTATTACAGAAATATTAGGGAAGAGAAAAGAATTAAGTCACAAATCTTTGTTTTCACTAAAAATGTTACCCACACTGAGATAAGTGGCCTAAGTTGTATCAGTAACATGAAGGGATATTATATCAGGTTTGGTGATCTAATCTTTAAATCAAGATTTTATGTATAGTTTGGTTTGTTTATGGTAAGCTTGGTTTGTTCATCTCAGACTGTTGTACATGACCTGTATGTTCTATTTGTCATCCCCTTGGCTTATCTTAAACCAGTAGAGTTTATAACTCTATAGTATTATAGGGGGATAGTTAAAAATCTGCATTAGAAAACATTATAGCATCCCTATGAGCTATGTTTAATTATTACCCCCAATTTACTGGTAAAATGAAATTAGTATAGTTTTAGTTATTACCCCATTTTATTAATGAGGAAATTGAGGTTTAAGGAGATTAAATAATTTTTTCAAGGGCACAGCATGATGTCAAGTCCAATCAGTTATGTTCTTGGTTCTCAAGTTAGAATCCAGTGAGAGTTTTCTCCACTTGACCCAAGTAACCCAAACCTGGGACCCCTTTACTGGAAAGAACAACACTGCCAGAGAATCTAAGACTACATAACAGTGATCAAAACAGACATGCAACTATATAACAATGTTTATTTTCCTATTTCTTGATTCCTTTCAAAAAGTTTCCTAGTTGACAAAATAGAATTCTTTTTTTGGCCAGAAAACATGAATAGCACCCTAACGTTTGTCACTCTGAGTGGGGAACTAAAGGCCAGAAGAGAAGAGGATGGTATCGTCCTGGACCTGCCTCTTTATCCAGCCCATCCCCAGGTCAGCTCTTTTTAATTTTTTTTTTTCTTTTGGCTGCCCTGCACGGCTTATGGGATCTTAGGTCCCTGACCAGGGATTGAACCAGGCCCTCGGCAGTGAGAGCATGGAATCCTAACCACTGGACCGCCAGGGAATTCCCAGCTCTTTTTAATTATTGCCGTAAACTGACAGCTTTCCTGTTTTACAGTAGTTTTGTCTTTTTTCCCAATCTAGGACTTCCATGAAGTGGAGGATTTGATAAAGGTTGGTGAAAAGAATCAAACCTGAGCCGTGTGATACGATCATCTGTTATCATTTGAACAAAGATTCGGTACTATTTGATCTCAACAGATAGGCCTTCTACCAGTACAAGTGTTCCATTCTAAGCTTGGTTGAATACTGCACCGTGCATTTGAGATTTGAATTTTAATATTGAATCTAGGGACTTCCCTGGTGGTCCAATGGTAAAGAATCCACCTTACAATGCAGGGGATGGGTGTTTGATCCCTGGTTAGGGAACAAAGACCCCACATGCCTTGGGGCAACTAAGCCCGTGCGCCTCAACGATAGAGCTGTCGTGCGCAAACTACAGACCCCGAGAGCCACAACTAGAGAGAAGCTCGTGTGCCACAACTAGAGAGAGGCCCTTGTGCTGCAACAAAGACCCTACACAGCCAGAAGAAAAAAAAGAAAAATAATATTAAATCTATTTAGTGAGAAGGTTGACCAGTTTTCCCTGACTCTTCATTATCCAATTAGCCTCCATGGAAAGGTGGGGGAGGGGAGACTGTCGTGTGGCAGGCTGAGAGTGAAAGGAAAGAGTGGAAACTGCCTGGCAGCTGTCGGAGTCCTGATGTCTTTAGCGGAGAATACGCCTGAGATGACAGGGCTGTGCTTTGATGGAAGAGAGCAGGAAAGCATGGGAACCTCGATAGAGAAGACAAGATACATAGACCGGCCTCCTCAAGGAGTCTGTGTGGGAATGGGGCTTGATGATGATGGTTATGATGACGATGATGACAATGAACATTTTTGAGAGTCTCCCCTGTGCAGTGCCACGCACTAAGTGGTTTTTTTTTTTTTTTTTTTTTTTTTGCGGTACGCGGGCCTCTCACTGCCGTGGCCTCTCCCGTTGCGGAGCACAGGCTCCGGACGCGCAGGCTCAGCGGCCATGGCTCACGGGCCCAGCCGCTCCGCGGCATGTGGGATCTTTCCGGACCGGGACACGAACCTGTGTCCCCTGCATCGGCAGGCGGACTCTCAACCACTGCGCCACCAGGGAAGCCCTAAGTGTTTTAATGTATTATCTCATTTAATTCTCACTGCCACCCAGTACAGCAGGCACTACAGTTGTCTCCCAGAGATTCCAGAAGGCCAGAGCAGCCCTGGTTGGCCAGGTGCTTAGTTTGTAGAGCAGGAAGGGCCCAGGTCAGGACCAGGCCAAGGGCAGCCATGAGAAAAAATTATTCTGTAAAATGGCGTATTGTGGTATTTCTCAGTGAATTTTCAACTCAGGATTTATAATCTCTTTAGTGTTTTGCTTTAAGTTTTCAGAGTATAAGCAAGTATCATGGATTCTGATTTTACACTCAGCTCTACCTATGGCTTGAGTTTTGGGAGACAAGCCGAATTCATAAATGAACTACTTTAAACATATTGGCAAGAAAATGGAAAATATTCACAGTGCTAGACCTTGTTCATGGTAGAAAGAGCTTAACCTGATCTCTCTAAGCCTCAGGGTCGGCATTTGTAAAATGAGGATGATGAAGGATTATTTATTGTGAGTATTGTCATTTTGTGTTCCTAGAAACTGGCAATAAGATTCTCAGCTGAGAATTAAACTTTCAAATTGACATAAGAATCCATGCAGAGAATGACCCTTCAGAGAGACTGAGAGGCCCCGGAGAGCAGATGGGATCGGGCTGTAGGCGTTCCCATTTCTGGGGGGGGTCGGGAACGTTGGTCAGCAGTGGTCACAGAGGCAGCATTCCAGGCATCACCCATGGCAGAGGGAGTCTTGGCGATAGGACCTAGAACACCTCAGTCCCTAAAGAAGATTAGAGAACCTGAAGCCACCTAGTGACAACCAGACAACTACTGTGTAACTCTTGTCTGTTCTGAAGGCAGCTGGTGGTGGTGCCACAGGATGACTCGGAGGGGCACAAGACACATACAGTGTCTTGGATATGAGCGAGGCTATGTGCAGCCCAGTAAAGGGTGAATCAGGGTATCTCTAGAAAATGTTGAAAATGTTGCTACGTTCTTGATCTGTAGCATAAAGTCTACGTGAGAACAGCGAGCTTGCCAAGCAGAGCAGCCTTGAGACAAGTGCCCTAGTCCCCACTTCCAATCAGACTGCTGGCCCTGAGTCCTTCCCATGTGGAAGCTTCTAGTTACTGCTGCAGGAACTCCACATATTATTTCACTTAATCCTCACAACAACTCCAAGAGGCAGGCATGAAGCCCGCACCTCTACAGATAGTAGACAGTAGTAATTCAGAGCTTTGACTCCAGGGCCCCTCAGACCTGGGTCAAGGTGTGTGTGTGTGTGTGTGTGTGTGTGTGTGTGTGTGTGTGTGTGACCTTGGGCCTCTCTGAATCTTCTTATCTGTGGGGAAAATACCCACCTGAAGGAGTTGTGTGTTGAGGGACGTAGTAACATGTGTGAACAATGCCTATCTCTGGCTAAACTCAGAGGGTAAACTCAACCCTCATCAAGGTCTCTGGCTGCCAGGAAACTGGCCTTCTTGAGCAATACCTTGAGTCCCGAAACTGACCTGAAACTCCTGGGATTGGAGATGTTGGGTGTGCCTGGCACAGAGCAGACACTCGTGAGAGGTTGCTCTCCAAACATGGGTCAAATTCATAAATTCCTGAGGAGGTTTTGGTCTGTCTCCATAGACTGCCATAGGTGACACACTGGTTCAGGACATCCGCTATTCCCCAGATACCCGAAAGCTCCTGGTCCGGCTCAGTGATACTTACAACAGGTAAACAAGATTTTTGGCTTCGTCAGCACCCTGGGGATGGCCGAGCACCCAGATTTATGGCTCTGGCTTGGTCTGGCTGTGCCATGTTCTGTCAAACCATGATTTACACAGCCAGAGAGTTTTGTTCCCCTCCTGGTGAGCCATTTGGCAAGCTGCATCCTGGCCTGCTTTACAGAGTGTGGGCAGTGGGTAGTCTATTGAATGGCTTTGTCCTGATCCACCCCATTTCTGAACAAGGTCATTTCTGGAGAGCCTGAAAGTGAACACACAGAATCTGCCGCAAGTGGAAAACACGGGGAAGGTGAAAGGACTCATTCTCACCATCAAGGGAGAGCCTGATGGGCAGACTCAAGCGTTTGACTTTTACTCCAGATATTTCACTCCATGGTTTGGTGTGGCCGAAGACCCTGTAACAGGTACTTTTTGACTTGAGTCCTGAAGAGGGCTAAACAGTGGAGAGGGAGGAGGATAACAAGTAGCTGTTGCTGTGCCCTCCACGTGACCTTTCAGGTTGTTTGGTTTTTGAGCTGCCTTTGTTTCCCTACCTACCCCTCCCCCACCCCTTTGCTGAAGTCTTATGTGAAAAACAGAGTTAAGGAGGCAGTATAGCAGGGTTAAACTAGGGTCAGACAGGCTGGGTTTGCATCTTAGCTTCCTAGCTGTTGACCTTGGGCAAATGACTTAACATTTTTTTTTTAGATTTTTTTTTGATGTGGACCATTTTTTAAAAAGTCTTTATTGAATTTGTTACAATATTGCTTCGATTTTTATGTTTTGGAGTTTGTTTGTTTTTGTTTTTGGCCGCGAGGCCTGTGGGATCTTAGCTCCTCGACCAGGGATTGAACCCACACACCCTGCACTGGAAGGCGAAGTCTGAACCACTGGACCACCAGGGAAGTCCCTGACTTAACTTTTTAAAGCTTTTGTTCCCTGGCTATAAAATATGGATAATACCTCATAGGTTATGTAAACACAACGCATGTTAAGTGGTCAACACAGTGCCTGGCACATGGTAAGTGCCCAATAGCTATTAGGTATTTTAATAATAACAACAGGGCTTCCCTGGTGGCGCAGTGGTTGAGAGTCCGCCTGCCGATGCAGGGGACACGGGTTCGTGCCCCGGTCTGGGAAGATTCCACATGCCGTGGAGCGGCTGGGCCCATGAGCCATGGCCGCTGAGCCTGCGTGTCCAGAGCCTATGCTCCGCAATGGGAGAGGCCACAACAGTGAGAGGCCCGCACACTGCAAAAAAAAAAAAAACAGAAAACAAAAAAAAACTGGCTCCCTGAGCCAACACTTCTAGAGCTGCCATTTGCAAAATCTAGTGGCCAATGTCCACTACATTCCCAAAGCCTTTTTTCCTTTTCAGTGACCAGCCTGCACGATCATTGATCTAGATAAGATTTGGTTTTTGAAGGATCAAGCCCTGGACTGCTGGTGGGAAATTGGGACAGGCATAGTGGTTTTGTTTTTTCCTCCCTTCCTCATTTCCCTGACCTGCCCACAAAGTGGGTGGGATGGGTTCAGGAACGTGGGTATTCAGGATCTTCTACCAGACAGAAGCAGAGGGATGAAGTCAAAGATGGGCAAAAATGTGAAGCCTCGTACTTTCATCCTCCTGGAGAAGAATGGCCTGAGCCACAAAAGGGGGGATGCTGGATGGAGGAGACTGGTGGATGGGATAGTGGCCAGGGTAAAAGGAGGCTGAGCAGAGACTGTGAGCCTCCTGTTCTGGTCAGATGGCAGGGGCTGGGATGGTTTCAGGGCCTTGACTTAGTTACTCTGAGGAACAAAATATGTGAAATTCAAAGCTCAGCAAGCAAGCACTTTTAAAGACTCAGGAAAATGCCCAGCGACTGTTGGTCCAACTCAACCCTCCCCAATAGAAAAGAAGTTCTGAGTGGACTTACACTTGCACAGCTGCTTCCCAAAGATGTTAATTACCACAGAGGGCAAGTTTTTTCCCCCTGTAATGATGCTTTTCTAGAGTGGGAAGGGCAGCGATGACCAACCATTTCAGTTTGCTTGAGACTGAGGGACTTCTCAGCATACAGGATCTTCAGTTCTAAAACCAGGACAGTCTCAGGCATACTGGGATGCTCGGGCACCCTATGTGGACCTCCCATAACATTAGTAAGTTTTCCTGAAGGAGAGACCTTTTCCAAACCATCCTTTTTTCTCCCAAAGACTTTTCTGTCAGTTATTACTTTACATTTTGTTTCTTCATTTTATTTTATTTTATTTATTTATTTATTTTTTTGCGGTACGCGGGCCTCTCACTGTTGTGGCCTCTCCCGTTGCGGAGCACAGGCTCCGGACGCGCAGGCTCAGCGGCCGTGGCTCAAGGGCCCAGCCGCTCCACGGCAATGTGGGATCTTCCCGCACCGGGGCACGAACCCGTGTCCCCTGCATTGGCAGGCAGACTCTCAACCACTGCGCCACCAGGGAAGCCCTGTTTCTTCATTTTAATATCTATTCTCTGATCGAAACCTAGGGCACAATCATATGAAAAAATACCTCACTAAAAGAAAGTTCTTCTGGCACCGAAAACCTGTGAATGCTGACTTGGTGGGAAATATAGCCTTTTGTCAGAGTTCCCACCTTTTCTTTCATGTGTGTCCTAAGAAGAAGGAGATATTTTTCCCTTGAAAGATGTAGACAGATTTATGTGAAGACCTTGATTCTACCATGGGCTGACAATGAACTGGTAGACAAGACAAGAATTAAAACCTACAGTTTAATTCAGCCTTCAGAAAGTATAAGACACAGCAGATACATCCTTTGGAGGAGTTATCCGTAAATTCTATGTCTTCCTTTCTATTTCCATCCTTAATTCCACACTTGGCTGTGGCCACGGCCAACATAATGACTACGTCATCTAAGGTTTAGTCAAACTGGATAGTTGATTGTTTATGAACTTAGCACAGAGTTGCCCCTGTTTTCTTTGGGATTGTACCATGACTTTTCACTTCTTTTAAGGGTCTGCACATACTGTTCTCAGCAGCTACTGGTCCCAGCAACTGGGGAAGAAAGTCATGCACGGTAGGACAGCTTGTTTTCAAATTTTAAAAAATTTGCTTAACTTGAAAGCTAGTATTTCTTCTCATATGTACTATCCACTTGAAGATGTAATAAAATGTTAACTATCACCCACGTGAAAACGAGAGGTTTCGAATTCCTTCCCCCTGAACCTTCTACTCAAAACATCCTCCACCCCAAACATCTTCCACCTCTGTCTCTCCCAACACAAGGACACACTTCTAATACAGTAAGTACCCAATAAATGTTTGTTGAATAAAGTTAACTAGCTGTATAACTTTGACCCAGAAAGGTTGTTTATAATGTGACAAGTTGAGACTGGATGATTACCAAGGTTCCTTACTGCCATTGCTAGTTATGAGATTAAATCAAACAAACTGCTTTGGAACCAAGTCTCCTGGTGATTTACATATTGCCTGAGGCAGAGAAAATAAATGGCAGCCAGTGGAATTTACACAGCTAGTACTAGGTAGCTAGTAGTCTGTATGTGGTACAGGCTACACAATCAAAGTAGGAGTTTGACTTTAAAGGATGGAGGTTCTTACTCAGTGGGATGGTTAAGCCTCTGTGACCCTGACTTGGGAACAGCACGGTGACTGTTCTCTTTCTTTGGTGAGCCTAATGACTCCTCTGACCTTAGGAAGCCTCAGGCTGTGCCTCATGGTTGCCTGACAAGTGTGGTTGCTTGCTAACCACAATGAGTAAAGCACTCCCTTTATCCTATTCAGACCGGGGAAGGTGGGGCCTTTTCAGAAGGGCAAGAGCACCCCTCTTTATCTTCTTAGACTTTTAGTCCTAGCCTCTGTCTTTTCACATGTGCTTGCCTTCTAGACAGAGCCAGGGAGGATGCTATATGGGCGGGGTATGTCTGGGGCATTACAGGAAGTAATAGAGGAAGTGGCTCAGAAAGCGAAGCTGTAGAGCTGTGTATTTTGTGGATCAAATTGCATCTGTGGTCTCAGTCCTCAGGAGAATGGGGTGGGCTGGGCAATACCATGCACAGATGAAGGAATGCATTCTATTTAAAAAATTTTTTTAAGATTAATTGATTTTTATTAAGGTAACATTGATTTATAACATCATATAAGTTTCACATGTACATTGTATTCCTGCTTCTATATACCCTACAACGTGCTTACCACCAAAAATTTATTTTCCATCTTTCACCGTACAGTTGATCCCCTTTACCCATTTTGATCTCCCCGCCCCTCCCTGACCCTTCGCCTCTGGCAACCACCCTCTGTTCTCTGTGTCTATGTATTTGTGTTTCGTTTGTTCATTTATTTTGTTTTTGTTTGTTTGAAGGAATGTGTTCTTTAAACTGACCTGGGAGGATTCTAGAGCTTGTAATACGTGGTCTGTCACTATGCCCTGTTAATTAAAAAGGGTGAAAATGATCTTAATTTGTGACTCGTTTTATGTTTTCTTTAGCCTTTCAGTGTTCCAGCCGGGGAGGAGAATTGAAGATTTCCCTGCGTCCTGATGGACGAGTTGACATCAAGGGACGTGCTGCTCTTGTTTTAGAGGGCACGCTGACGGCCTAGACGCGCTTGTGCGCGATGCTGCGATCTTGACTTACTATTTTCCACGTAGAAAGAAATGTAAGGGGCTGCTTTGAATAAAGTTTGCATAGTAGTCTACTTAATCCTCACCTTAGACATAGAACAACAAAGACATATTAATGGAAATTTAATAATGCTTCCTGACTAATTAACTAATGGAGTTTTGGCTCTACCTGTGAGTATATTTGAAATGTAAGTAACTAATAACGAAGAATAATGTTGTCACCTTTGATTATGAGCCCCAATCACAAAATGAGGAACAAATTTATGAGGAGTAAGATCAAACCATTTAAACTTAGGTGTGAATACCAGATAGACTATTTTGTAGCCATTGAAAAGACCCAATAACTATGAGGAAATATTAAAAAAAATTTCATGATACAATACCAAGAAAGAAAATCACAGTAGAGTATAGCGACGTTAGCGACGTTATGCTGTGTCTGTGGAGAATACGAATTTATATGGACAGAGATGGATCATGAAGATAGAAAAGTGAAAAGAGTTCACGTGTGGAGGGTAAGATTGGAGTAATTTTAATGTACCTAAAAAGTTATTTTCTTCATTGGAACACACTCATGTTTAATAACTAAAAATCAGGACACGTAGCTAAATAACTAAAAAGCCCAGAATTTTTTTAAATGTATGTGTGATAGAGTGGTAGTAAAATTAAACATGAAAAGTAATATCTTGCCTCTTTCCAAGTTCTTTTTGGGGTGGGAATCCCCCTTGCTGTGGCTCCCATGTATTCTGCAAGTTAGGTGCCCAGCTGGGATCTGAATTCCCAGCCCATGTGTCAGATCTACTGCTCAGCAATCTGACGTGGTTGGTAAAAAGCAATTTGCTGTCTCCTGTGTATAAGACACTGGGCTAGAAGCTGGTGGGGTGGAGAGCTGGGGGCCAGGCTGCAAAGGAGATTAGAGGGGAAGCTTATAGAGCTCTCAAGGGAATCTAACTGCGAAAACCAGGCTCATCCTTTCATGAAAAGATAATGAGCACTTGCACTGGTCTGTGATTAGGGTCTACATATGGCAGACACTGAATGCTATGGCGTAGTCTGGGGAGTGTTGAAGGACAGGGCTTCAAAAGACTGGGGCATGAGCAAGACTTCAGAGATGAATGCACATGGCATGTCTGGGTTTTGTCTAGAGTTTCTACATCTTGAAAGTAGTTAGGTTCTATGGGGGCTGAGAGAAATAAAAGAAAGTAATTATTAAACTTACAATCCAGTTGAAGAGATAGCATGTAAACACAAGGATAGATAAATAATACTGTAAGCTATTTTTATTGTTGTTTTTTAAACTATTAAAACCTATAGAAAGGACATAGGAATCATGGCGGTTGTGAGTCATCCCCAGGGTATGAGAAAGGGAGAACTATGGTTCTCCAGGTGTGGTCCCTGGACAAGCAGCATCTGTACCACCTGGGAGCTTGTTAGAAAAGCAAATTCTCAGGCCCCATCCCAGACCCACTGAATCAGAAGCTGTGGAGATAGAAACCAGAAATCTGGTTTTTAACAAGCCCTCCAGGTGATCCTGGTGTATACTTAGGTTTGAGAATCTCTAGTATTCAGCCACTGTTTTCTTCCCTCCCAAGTGACAATTGCCTATGTAGCTCAATAACTTTAAATGTGCATTATCTCAAAATCTCCTTGACCATACCAATATACTTGCTGCTTAGTGCAGTTTTGGAGGAGCTGGGTTTTTTTTTTTTCCTCTTAGTTTCCAGTTCTGTTCAGCATAGAAAAACTAGCTGTGCTCAGGTGGGAGCTGTTCAGTAAAATGTTGGTAATATACAGATTAATCAGCCATGATTTATTAATGTTGAATTAATTACACCTGATTGTGCAGTTCTGCTAGCTAAATGGAGCTTTAAAGGAGTTATTTTATTAATCATCATGGTGCTAATTGCAGACACTTACAGAAGGATCACTAATTAAACATGCAACCATATGCAAAACAAGTTGGGCTGCTGAGACCTGCAAGAATAAGAAACCCTGATTTTTAGGGGAGCCAAAACATTTTATTTTATGCAATATTAGGGAGTTGGCTTGGCGATGTTAATCATTCACTGCAAGTTAATATTGTAATCTTTCCCAGCAGGGATTGATCCCTATATCAAAAAGTGTATAGCACTCTAGTGAGATTCTAGTAAAGGGGAAGATCATTCAAGCCTATTTTCTCTTTTATACACATGCAAAATGGCTTTTGCTGAACAGAGACCATTGATTGATGGGATGGGACATACAGCAGAGACAGTCAAAACCACAAACCGGTCCTTCGTGTCAGAGAGCATCAGGTGAGTGCGAGACTGAACTCTTGGAGACCATGAACACCCTGTGTATTGAATCACAATAAGAGGAGTCACAGCCTTGTACTATTGGAGCAGAGAAAGAAATGAGACTGTCCAGCTGAAGGGGCATCAGGTAAACTCAAGGATAGCTAAAGAATGGGAAAATTGTTTTCAATTTTTAGCTCAAGATAGATTAAATCTGTTTCCTGACTTTTTGTTGTTATGATGATTTGTTTGGAGTTATGCAGCATCATTGTGAATAGTCAAGGAGGTACTGGCCAGCTTCCTCCAAGGAAGCCAAGGTGGCAAGGTGCTACCTCTCTCTGCACTTCAGGGGGCAGGCATGCTACTCGGGCTCCACCAAATCAGAAACCATCTCCTGGGAATGTGGATCCTGAACAAGGGAAGCAGTACTGTAGAGGTGGCTAGAGACCTATACTATAGAGATCCATACTATAGCTCATTCTAGCTTGTTCTAACATTATTAGCTGTTCCACCATTTAATCAATCCCCTCAGTCTCCTACTTTTTTTTTTTTTTATTTTTGGCTATGCCTCGCGGCATGCAACATCTTATTTCCCTGACCAGGGATCAAACCCGTGCCCCCTGCAGTGGAATCACGGAGTCTTAACCACTGGACCGCCAGGGAATTCCCCCCTCAGTCTCCTATTGAAGACCTTTGATTTTGTTTCCTGATGCTTTACCATTAGAAGCTGTACTGCAGAGAGCAACTTTATTTTATTTTCTATGTCCTGGTACTTTTATTTCTTTAGGATAGACTTGAGAGAGAGAGATTTCTGGTTTGAATAATGTGTGTATTTTGGGGGACTTCCCTGGTAGTCCAGTGGTTAAGACTCCACGCTTCCAATGCAGGCGGCATGGGTTCGATCCCTGGTGGGGGAAATAAGATCTCACATGCAAAAAAAAGAGGAATGTGTGTGTTTTTCATTTTAGTAGCTATTGTCAGATACCCTTCCAAAAGAGACTGTAGCTGTTCATGTTGCCAGAGCACTGTATCCTTTTCACCACAACCCACCAGCAGAATTTTGCTAATCTGATAAGTGATAGCTTAGTATTACTTACTTTGCATTTACCTGATTAGGAAAGTTAAACATCTTTTGTTACAGTAACTTGCTACTTATATTTTATCTTCTCTGAACTCTCTATTCATGTATTTTGCTTATTTTCTATTGCATTTTGTTACCAGTTTCTTTATTATGAACTTTTATCTGTCATAGGTGTGGAAATTTTCTCCCCAATGTTTTGATGTATATTAAGGCAGTCATTATTATCCTTGTTTTATAGATGAGGAAAGTAATGCTCAGAAAGGAAATTGACTTGCTTAAGTTTACTCTGCTAGTGAGATGGTTAGATCTGGATTCAAAACCAGGCTATGTGATGACAAATCTAGTGCCCTTGCTATACTTCAAGGAATATCCCTAGAGGGTTGCTTTGGTTACTGTCCTGTATAATGTTACCCCCAAATTTACAGGTGTGCTCGGAGATTCTGTGGGTCCCCAGGAATTTGCACAGGACATATTGGGAAGGCTTGTTTCTACTCCACCTGGTGTCAGCCAGGGTGGTTCAAAGGCAGGGCTGGGATCATCAAAGGCTTGTTTACACACGTTTGGAGCCTGAGTTGAGGACACTGAAACAGCTGAGAGTTGAAACAGCTGAGAGCTGGAACAGGAAGGCCTCCTTTTTTTTTTTTAAATTTAATTTAATTTATTTATTTGGTTGTGCCGGGTCTTAGTTGCGGCTGGCAGGCTCCTTAGCTGCGGCACATATGCTCCTTAGTTGTGGCATGCAAACTCTTAGTTGCAGCAGGCATGTGGGATCTAGTTCCTTGATCGGGCCCCCTGCATGGGGAGTGTGGAATCTTTTTTTTTTCGGTACCCGGGCCTCTCACTGCTGTGGCCTCTCCCGTTGCGGAGCACAGGCTCCGGACGCGCAGGCTCAGCGGCCATGGCTCACGGGCCCAGCCGCTCTGCGGCACGTGGGATCCTCCCGGACCAGGGCACAAACCCGTGTCCCCTGTATCAGCAGGCGGACCCTCAACCACTGCACCACCAGGGAAGCCCGGAGTGTGGAATCTTAACCACTGCGCCACCAGGGAAGTCCCCAGTTGGGCCTCCTTGAACACCTTTATCTCTACATAATCTCTCCACGTGATGTTTCCAGCATGGCGGGTTTAGGAGAGCTGGACTTCCTCCATGTAGGCTTGGCTCCCAAGGCCCCAAAAAAACCAAGTGGAAGCTGTCTCACCTTTTATGACTATACCAGGAAGTAACATGATTTTACTTCTGCCGCATTCTATTGGTTGAGGCATTTATGAAGGTCTGTCCAGGCTCATGGGGCAGGGACACAAAGCCCACCTCTTAATGGAGGATGGTTAATGTCACATTGTAATAAGAGCATATGAGATGGGGTATATTTGACTGCAGCAATCTTTGGAAAAATACGATCTACCACAAGAGTGTTTTGGGGAATTTCCCATATTCTCGGGAAATTGGAGACATAAATGGTTAGCAAGGACAAGAAATACCTCCATTTAAAAGAAGAAAACTTGGTGTTAACCCTGAATCATTTTTTTTTTAATGGAGGAACAACAACTATAGTCATTGAGCCATCATCAACAAACATATGGATGTGTTTATAGATCATCATCAAAAACTTATGAAAATGTTCTTAGCCTACTGGAGATACTTTCAAGGAACCAGAAACATTTAAGTGTCAGGTTTTATGGACTTTGTGGGCTCTCAAGCCTACTCTGCAAAGGAGATGGACCAGACTGGATCTGTTCCACACTCAGAGTGAAACAGTGTTCCTTGGCTTAGTCTTTACCTTCATCTGTTTGGGCTGCTATAACAAAAATACCATAGACTAGGTGGCTTATAAACAATAAACATTTATTTCTCATGATTCTGGAAGGTAGCAGTCCAAGATCAAGGCAGTGGCAGATTTGATGTCTGGTGAGAGCCTGCTTCCTGGTTCATAGATGGCAATCTTCTTGTTGTGTCTTTTTTTTATAAGGGCACTAATCTGATTCATGAGGGCTCCACCCTCGTGACCTAAGCACTTTCCAAAGGCCCCACCTCCACGTACCATCACACTGGGGATTCAGTTTCAACATATGAATTTTGGGGACACACAAACTTTCAGTCTATGGCAGCCATTCTGGGGCAATGGCGGCCATTCTGGGGCAATGCCTTGTAGTTACTGTTTTCTGATGCTGCCAAATTCTTCCAGAGAGGCCAGAGTGGCCATTGTCGGGGATGAGTGTTTTGGTTCTTTTTTAATATTTATATATGTGTCTGCACCGGGTCTTAGTGGCCACACGTGGGATCTTCGTTTTGGCGTGCGGGATCTTTTTAGTTGCGGTATGCAGGCTCTTAGTTGCGGCATGTGGGATCTAGTTCCCTGACCAGGGATCAAGCCCAGGCCCCCTGCATTGGGAGCACGGAGTCTTAACCACTGGACCACCAGGGAAGTCCTGGGATGAGTGGTTTATGACTTTGTGCAAGAACGGTTGAGGTTATCACAATACCTTTGGGCCAGGCTATTTTAAGTTACAATAGACCGTTTGTGAATTTCATCAACCAACTGGAGGCTCTTGTAGCTAAAGTCATGATTTCAGCAATAAAGAAAAGAAGAGGTAAGTTAAAAGTGAACACCTGTTCTTCTAAAATTGCTCTACTGCAGGTACCAGCCCTAGAGAATTGGCAGATGGTTTTGTGTTTCTAAGCCTGACCTTAGCAGCCCTTCATCAATCTTAAGCTGATTGATTCTCAAGAAAGAGGAGATTCTGGTTTCCCAGGGTACCCAAGACACCTTTGATTTAGTTACTACCTGAAGACCAATTAATTAGTCCACACTGGTTCTCTCAAGTTTTCCTAACAAAGCTAGGAAATCCTGGGCACAGCCTGACTGGGGAGGCTTTTTACTAGCTCATTAATTACTGTCACCCTAGACATGGATAATTCTAAAAGAAAGAAAAAACATCATTCTGCACTGGGGAAGATAGGTGATTTCCAAGGCCTGCAGCTATCTTGCATTGTGATTCCTGTAGCCAAGGGGCTCCCGTCTTTAAAAAACCTCCACCCATAGGACTGAAACTACCAACTTCTTTTCCCATTGCATCTTAACTCATGGCTGCCAGGGGAGCTTGTCAAACATGAGAGAATCTGCCCCTTGAATTTAGCAGTGTTTACTTAAGTTATTTTTTATTTTTTTGCGGTACGCGGGCCTCTCACTGTCTTGGCTTCTCCCGTTGCGGAGCACAGGCTCTGGACGCGCAGATTCAGCGGCCATGGCTCACGGGCCCAGGCGCTCCGCGACATGTGGGATCCTCCCGGACCGGGGCACGAACCCATGTACCCTGCATCGGCAGGCGGACTCTCAACCACTGCGCCACCAGGGAAGCCCTACTTAAGTTATTTTTAAGTCAAATGGGATTGTACTGGGTTTTTATGACTGTATGCTTAGGCCACCTAGGCCACTCAAGGTGTCTGTTCTCTTGCTCTCTGTTCATCCCCTCGACCAGTGCCCGCTTCATCTATACCTACTCCCATGACTGACCTTCCTATGTATGTACTTGCCCCAGACTCCAGCTAGTAATTGTTCTAATCTTTAGATCTAAACATCTTCACCTGATAGCTTCTCAAAAGGGCGGTGAGGGGCGTGCCCTTCTGCTAGTTTCCCCGGTAACCAATGAGCCAACCTGATCTCCCTTCCTGCCCCCCCGCCCCGCCCCCCAGAAGCCAAGACTGCTGCCATTTTGCCCGCCAGCCACCGCACACTGTGCGGTCTTGCTCCACGACCTTGCTTCAGACATGTAAGCTCCGCCATCCATCAACCCATAGATGTCTCTGCTGCTGACTCCAGGCTTTCTTGAAGCTGGGCAAGTACAGGGCTTGCAAGCCTGCAGGGTGCAGCCCAACAACGACATAGAATTAATTCATAATCAACTCTCAGTTATCCTCTGGATGGATACCTGGGGATCTCACTCTTCTCACCCTCTCAGCTGGTTTCCCCTCTTCTGTCTCTTACCTGGACCCATTTCTCTCCTGGTCTCTCCTCAGTCTTTGCTCTTCATTCCAAGCTGGGGCCTTACTGGGAAGAGTCAGGGTGGGATGTGGGGGGGTGTTGTTGATGTAATAAGAAGTAATAGAACAGCATACTCATATATTAACCAGTAGATGCTCTATGACTCTCCTTCTTTAAGAGGATAACCATAAGTTGACTTTTGCTACTAAGAACTTCCTCCTCATGGTCAATATTATTTCTTGGTAGTGTTAAAAGATAAACTGGGGGCTCCCCTGGTGACGCAGTGGTTAAGAATCCGCCTGCCAATGCAGGGGACATGGGTTTGAGCCCTGGTCCGGGAAGATCCCACATGCCACGGAGCAACTAAGCCCGTGCACCACAACTACTAAGCCTGTGCTCTAGAGCCCGCGAGCCACAACTACTGAGCCCGTGTGCCACAACTACTGAAGCCTGTGTGCCTAGAGCCCGTGCTCCGCAACAAGAGAAGCCACGGCAATGAGGAGCCCGCGCACTGCAAGGAAGAGTAGCCCCCACTCGCCACAACTAGAGAAAGCCCACGTTCAGAAAAGAAGACCCAATGCAGCCAAAAATAAATATATAGATTTATTTTTTAAAAAAAGATAAACTGGGGCATATTTTAAAAATTTAAGAGTTTATTTGAGCAATCATCTATTCCAATCAGGGAGTGCCAAACCAGAAGTGGTTAGGAGCACTTCACTGACAGGGCCTTGGGGCAAGACTTTATTATCGAGAAGACTTTGAAGCAGAGCAAGGAAATTATTTGATTGGCTAAGCTCAAACATCGTTTGGGAAAGCCTAGTTGGCTGTCTGTGATTGGTTGTCCTTAGGTTTTGACTTTTTACCCTTGAGGCATTTATGGGCTTAGGTTTTGGTTTGCTTATGTAGCTAAGTATGAGAACAACCTGAGTCTAACGACCTCCTTGTTTATTTTTTTTTTGTTTATTTTGAAAGGCCTCCTTGTTTAATTAACAGTATTGTACACATTAAAAAAATTGTTTTTATTGTGGACAATTTCAAGCATGCACAAAAACAAAGCAAATATTGATACTATAGTTACTACTCCTGGCTTTCTTCCCTGCTGCTCCCCACCCCTTGCACCCATCATGCAGCTTCAACGTTTATCAACTCATAACCAATTAATTCTGTTTCATAGTTGACCCCCAAACCCAGGTGTTCTGTGCTCCGTGTTTGGGGTCACCTGAAACCCCATTTTCTCAGCTGAACATACCCAGGAGGCAACCCTGGGTACAGCAGACTCCTGCCTGTCTGTGTCTTCCACTCCATCCTGTGGACTGAGGCTTGAGAACACCTCGAGTGTCACATTCTATTATATTGATGGGGAAACTCGAGGAGTCCTGGTGGCAGGCTGGACAAAAGGACAGCTGTGCTGGGCTGCCCACAAATTAGGGCATCTTTGGAGGCTGTCCTCCAATTCCCAGTTAATTTTTAGGAGAGCTTTAATTATGCCATCAACAGTCCTCACTTAAACAATCACACGCGCTCTGGCTGGGGGAGAAATGAGTGACTGACTAGATTTACATAACCATTTACCCTAATTAGAATGTCAAAAGTTGGTGGCAAAGAGGCCAAGTTGTGCTGTGACTTAGTATCATTTTAATTTAGTCCAATTTCCTATTATTGCAACTGTCTTCCTCTTTGCATCTCAGATCCTCTTCTAAACCATTTGTAGCAAAAACAGA